CCACCCGCTCGCGCGCCCTCGTCCGCGGCCGCGCTCGCACTGACGAAGCAGCGTGGGATCCACGGCCAAGGTGATCATGCCCGCAGACGGCGAGGCAGGGACGGAGGCGACGGACTTCCACGTGGGCGCGGGCAGCCAGGAGACTCCAGGCAGCAGCTCGGACAGCCAGAACGCCACGGTGACCATCCGCCGCGAGGAGCTCAGGGACTTGATCAAGAGTGTAGTGTCAGAGACTATCAGATCAGGAGCTCCAGACGGAGGTGGTCATCGAGGAGTCGCCCACGAGGAGAAGTCACATGACGAGTGGCACGACACCGGCAAGGACCCTTGGCGTGAGGGTCGTGATCGAGGAGCTCCCAGTGGGGAGCGTGAGGCTGGAGGTGAGGGCCTCCAGCGAGATCACCAGGACGGAGACAAAGACGTCAGAGGGGAAGGCCGGTGGCGTGACACAGGCGGAGGCTGGAACAGCTGCGACGGCGGCCAGGGCAAGCCCGGGCTCGCAGAGGCCTGGAGCTCGGGCGACTGGAACGGCAGCTGGGCGGACCGCCGGAGATCGGCGTGGGACGCCGGAGACGGTGGTGGCTGGGGGGGTCGAGGCGATTTCAGCGACCCACCCACCTGGCCCGGGTGGGCCCACTATCGACAATGGAAACGAGCGCTTAGGCGCTGGAACACGAATACGGACGTGAAGCTCTGGAGGCGTGCCGAGAAGTTTCTCAAGCTCTTCGAGTACAGTTTCCAGGCCAAGTTCGAGGACATCAGTGAGGACAAGCTGTGCTCGACAGAGTGGATTGACGTGATCCTTCAGCGTATGGACCTCATGGCTGGCGAGCGGGAGGGCGACGACCTCCGGCGCGCCGGCAGGAAGGCCTTCTTCGAAGCGTCCAGGGAGACCAAGGAGGGCCTGACGCAGTTCGTTCACCGACGAGAGGCTCAGCTTCAAGAGGCCGAAGGCATGGATCTCTGGATGAGCTCCAAGCTGAAGGGGTTACTGCTGGAGGAAGGAGCTGGTCTATCAGCACAGGGAGTCCAGAACCTGCGCACCCTGACCCAGGGCAGGACCGACTTCGAGCACGTGGCTTGGGCGCTGAAGCAGATGGACGCCGGAGGAGCCGAGCGGCTCCTCCCCGGTCGCAGCGGCGCGGCGCTGCTGGCCGAGAGTGAGGGCTTCGGCCCGGGTGCCAGTGATGCTGCCAGCGGTGCTTTTCAGACCTCTCCTCCCCCTCCCTCCGGTCGGTCAGAGGTAGGTGTCGATGGTGAGGAGGACGACGCCAACTACTACGACTACGACGAGGAGGTCGAGGGCGACTCGGGAGAGGAGTCAGCTTGGGATGCTGAGGCGCTGCTCGCGGAGCTGGAGGACCTCAACTTGCGCGAGGACCAGCTGGAGGAGTTCTGGGTCATGATGGAGGGTCGGCGTCCAGTGGGACGGACGTGGAAGCAGAACAAGGAGCTGAAGAGGGCGGCCCGGAAGGACCGCGAGTACTTCGGCGCGAAGCCGAAGGCAGGGGAACGTCATCCACCTCGCCGCCCTCCCCCTTCTCCAGCCGGGGCATCTCGGACGAGAGGCTCCAGTGGTCGACGTGATCGAGGAGCTCCCGGTAGAAGCCGGGAAGGTCGAGGCATCCGTGGCAGGCCGACGATCGAGCAGCAGATGAAGGTGACGAGGTGCAAGCGGTGCCAGCAGAAAGGACACTGGGGACGAGAGTGCCCGAAGTTCGGGGACCACGTCGGAGGCGGTCAGGCCGGTGGAGATCAGCGAGCCCGGGCTGGAGGAGAGAGGCAGAAGATGTCGGCTTACATGTTCGAGGGCTTCTCCGGCGAGAGTTTCCCCCTGTGGAGGGACGAGGCTGACCAGATCTCCTCCGGGGCGGTCTACATCGTGGCCGAGGCGGATCAGGCGCTGGTCGATCCCGGGGCCGGGAGCGACCTGGTAGGAGTGCAGGCGCTCAACCGGGAGGCCCAGGCGCTCGCCACTCACGGACTGACATACGTCGAGATCCCTCGGTCCCACCGCCCGATCAAGGCCGCTCACGGGATCGGTGGCATGGGTAGGGTCATCAGCGTGATCCTCTTTCCCCTGTGCCTGGGAGGCGTGTTCGGAATTATCGAGACTACCGTGTTGGCAGATAATGTGCCTCACATTCTTTCAGTGAATTTGCTTGATTTCCTCAAGTGCCTGATCGATTTGCCAGGCAACGAGATGACCTCCCAGACTCTGGACGAGGTGATTCCTTTGAATCGTCTACCTTCTGGTCATCGCCTGGCGCAGATAGTTTGCAGGCTAGCCACGCCCGCCTGCGTGCCTGACTCGGCGCTCAAGCGCTATCCGTTTTTGAAGAAGGACTCCTTTGAGATCGGGGGCAGAGCGCCCCCCGTGATGTCAGACGACGGGGTTGTGTCGCAGTACTTGATCTCCCTCTCTCTCATGATCGTCATCATCAGCCTCGGCACAATCATGTGGGGACCGTGTATGGGGAAGCTCGGGGACCTTCGGGAGTACTTAGACGAGCTCCAGGGGAAGGTCTTGGGCGGCCTCAGGTGGCCACGAGCTCAGCTAGCGTCAGATCACTGGGCCGGG